TTTCAAACTGCAACATTTTCAACACATCTGGCTTGAAGCAATCTGTGCAAAATACTCCCCTTCAGGTTTTACTAAGACAGATACAATCCAATCTAAGATTAGGTACTCTTAATGTAAATTCTTACCTCGGTTCAAAGCTTTTGTCTTTGACAATACACTCTTTCTTTTCTGGCACACCTTTCCATCTTTTAGGATCAGCTAAATCCACCAGTGCGTTGGCATTAAGCAATCCAAACCCAAATCGGCTGTTTACCATGAGCCCAGCTCCATTCTTTTTCCATCCTGGATTGCCAGCCAGTGGATCATACTCAGAGGTCCAGACTGCTAAGTGTTGCATATCCCTCCAGGTTAGATTTGGGCTGTTGAGAAAATGTTGCTCATTAATTTTTATAGGACTATCTAACTATTTTCTCTCAATTATCTGCATATGCTTAGGAGTGTATATGGTACCCACTTGCTTTAAAGCCAAGAGCACGATATATGCTTAGCCTCACAGTACTTCTTCAGAAAAACAAGATCTCTGTTTAAATGAAGAACTGATACCTATCAAGATTAGAGCCCTGTTCTTCTAAGTCATTCAGGCATTTAAAGGTATGTATTCATCAAAGCTGATATTTCCTACCCCTCTTTGTGGGACCTTAACTTTGAAAACATTCACTGATACTTGATTCTGTTTGGGGTTATCTACACCCTTTAAAACATGGTCCCAAGTATCTTGCCTAATGTCATAAAAGAAATGCAAGAAAAAAAGGAGCTGAACCTCCATTTTTACAGGACTAAGTCTAAGCCCTAATGCCTAAAGTGCTTTCTTTGAAAAGTTTATTGTCTTTCTCCCAAGCCCCTCCTCCCTCCCATCTTCTTTCCCCTGGTATATCATAAACCAGGACTACCAGCCCTACAGGATTTGCACCTGCCTGCTCTGACTGTCCAGTTTGGCTATTCCCATTTTAGGCCTCATCCCCAGCAGCAAGGTTCTGCAAACTGCATAAAGACTTCACTTAAACTTGTACAACCTGCTGTCCTCAATTATATTCTCCTGCTGCATGTGCAGCCTAATCACTTAATGCAGTTGATTGGAGCTCAACAAACAATTATTGCCATTGCACAACAAGGTCTAAACTCCCTGGCTCATCAATTCTTACCTGTGTTGGTCCTGCTTCACTAAGTAGGCACTGTGGCAAGTAGCTCCTCATTTCTGTCATCAGACTGAACAGATTTGACTGACAAAAAGTGGAGCCCAGCATAAGATGCTGCCACTTCTAAATACACAGCATTCAGGGGGAAGAAAGTGGGATGCCTGAGACAGAGGAGTTTCAATTATGATTTTAGGACATCTTACTTTGCTTCCAGAGCTAGAGCAAAAATCCCTGCTGCCAGTGGTGCAGATGCAGAGGTCCCAGTGTGAGTCTCTGTACATTCATTGTGAAGATCAGCACTTGTCTAATAGAAAAACAGCAACAACAACAACAAAAGAAAAGTATGAAAAAGTGATAAATGCAGTCATATCCATACTCAAAAACATAACCATGTATCCTTTACTCAGTGCATATTAATACATTCCTCATCAGCAGACTAAGTGATGGATGTTTAAATCCATTCATATTTCCATCTACTCTTTTTACATCAACTATAATTTTTGTATCAAAATGCTTTGTGTTGGAACAAAATACTCGCACACTGAACATCTTACTTTAAGGCTTCACAATAAGTGTTTCAGGCTTACTGGTGAATCATAAAAATGCATCATTGTGTTGGGTCTAGAACATTTAAAATTACTGCCTGCTTCAAAATTACTCACAGGATTAGTACTAGTGTTCTGCTCCCTCTTCAGCAAAAGGACTATAATTTGCAATGAAGCATGCGTTTTAGTTCAAAACTAAATGCCAAAACCATTTGCTCTGGTATCTCAAGATGGAAAGGGAGAATGCTGAAATCTCCAGATCTCAGGTAAAATATAATCTATTTAGGAAGGACCAATCTTTTGAGTAACATGCACTGACATTTTAATCCCCATCCATGTAGTTTACTGTAAAACTAGCCATCAACCAGAGCAAAACAGAGTACAGCTCTTTGAACATTATTTTATCATGGCAAATTTCTTAAGGACAAGTTGTTTCTTCAAAAGGTAACGCACTGATTTATCCACTTGCTAAGTGGACACTTGTCCACTTAAAGATTGGAAACACCACTATTTTTGTCATCAGTGGGAATAGAGGGGATGAAAATCTTACAGAAAGCAAGTGGTAGAATGGCAAGGAATAAATACTAGAGGTCCTTATATTCTGAATCTCTCTTTTTTTATTGTTACAATTCCATTAACTCTATTAGATCCTACTCATTGGTTGGGACCTCACTCTCATAAGAAGATTAGATCTGATTTTTTGAAGAATAGGAACATGTCAAATGTGATGCAACGACCTCTGTCACACAAAACAACAGAATATTTCAGCATTCTGAGACAATCATCACTGCCATTTAGCTATTGCTTTGCAGTAGAAGATGCTCTGGGAATAAAAGCACTTTTTGTATTTCTAATTCCCCAGTGTTTTAATATTCAAGTACTGAACATGGAAAACATAAGTAAAACAGGCACTTGAAATTAGGCATATAAAAGCTCTCGCTTGTTATTTTCACATGTAACACATATTTAGGCATGTTCTGAATCTGGTAAAATCAACCTACAATTCTTTGGTCAGTATAATCCCCACTGCTGTACGCTGTGGCCAGAGTTGACGAGCACTTCTCTGCATACCAGGGAGAAAGGCCTTGCTGAGAAGCACTGCTAATGGAGATGGTGTAGATACTATCAGTGTAACCATCACAGTCACAGTTGTCACCCTGACGACCTCCATTTCCAGAAGCCCATACAAAAATGGAGCCTTTTCCATTTCGGCCCTAGAGGAAATGAAAGAAGAGATTACCAAAGGAAGAAGAGAGCTTTCAGTCTCTGCAGTGCATTCTTAACTACTCCTCCCCACAAAAAATGACAGCATAAAATCTCAAACATTTGCAGATGGAAGACAATTTTCCATAGGCACTGTGGAAGACAGAGTTGGAAGAAACAGGCTGGATGATATATCCTACTTTACACCTTTTAGTTCATCTAGTCTAGATTTAGTATTCCAAATACAGCAACTTTCCTCAAAATAAGTTTTAGATTGAAAAAAAAGAAGCTGTGATCAACAGGTAAGTTTTTCCACATGCCAATGTTTGGTCCTAAGTATTTTTAAGAAAAATCACCATTTTTAAAAGAAACGGCAAGTTCCTCAGGAGTTACTTCATCTGTGCTTCAGACCATCAGTCTCAGGGCACAACCACTTTCATTCCCTGTTCTGGTCTCCAGTGTATAAGGAGGTAGAGGCAGGTAATAATTGTTGCTGGCAGGTGGCAGTGGAGTGAGGCAGCAGCATGCAAATCATCACAACTATCCTATATAAATATCAGATACTTTGTATTAAACTGTGCTAGTCCTTCAGTGGAAAAACCTGTTTCATGTGAAGAGCAAAAGTTGTATTTTCATTCAGTGCTAACAGATACATATTCACTGCAAACAGCTGTCACAGATACAGATTTTTATCATGCTCCTACAGACAAGACTTGATTTTACTTGGGCAATGGGTAAGAGATATGCAGCACTTAAAACATTAAAAATAAGGAAACAGAAAAATAAGCTGTACTCCTTATGATACAATTGGTAAAATAGGAAGGATAACCCATGCCAACTCCAGCAAATGAGATAATATCTTCTTTTGAAAATAAAGGCTGCAGTCCAGTGAAGCGCTGGCACATGTGAGCAGCTGCTCTGATTTCACTTGAAGTGGTACAATGTCTCTCAGATGCTTAAGGCTAAAGCATATGCTTAAGGGCTCTACTGCTGTGCAACTCCATCTCCGATCGACTTAAATGGAATGGGAGAGCATCCAGATCCTTGAAAATGGATGCCTGGAAATTAACGGGTAAGTTTGCTTCCCTTAATAAATAAAACAGTCCATAAAAAAGATATGTGTTCTTCACCACAAAGATAACCTGCTTTTTCAGCCATGGAACATTGGCTCCCTAATTCTTGCCTGTAAATCTCCTTTTTTTTTGCTATCTACTTACAGACTTAGATCTCTGTTTATCATCAGCTTGTTCCTCTCAGCCTCCATTCTTCCCTCAGTGAATGCCTGTCAGTTGTCAGTTGTCTTTGTCTTCTTCCCTCCTTCTGTCTGCTAATATTAATTGCCCTTTTCTCCGGAATCCTTTCTTTGCATGTGTCCTTCAAGCTTGCCTCCATTTCTTTCCTTTCTCATCTATTTGATTCAATTTTCTTCTCTATATTAGTACCTGGCCATTTTAGATATCTTTTCACCTCATTGGCAAGGGCAGTTTATTTATATATTCCCAATAGCTCTCTCAGTCTGCCCCCTACTTATTATCCAAACAGATCTAAAGAGAATAACATAAAAAAGAATTGTAAAACCAATGTCTTCAATACTCGCAATCATGTATTTTACTGTCTTTATTTTAATTGGAACATGATATGCACCAACTTATTAACTAGTGCAATTAACACAGTAGATGTCCATCCACAGGGTGCTAAAATGCATCACTATTTCACCAAGTAAAATATTTACCAAGCAGAAACTTTGTATTAAATTTTTATAGGCTCTCAGTACAGAAATCCAGTTACTGTTCAGAGCAAAACAAGCAGACAGAGAAGATGGGGGGTAGGGTGAGACAAAGGCAGCAAAAGTAAAGGTGGAAAACAAAAGGTTATCTGTGGAGGATACCAGCCTAAAATCAGCTTAGAAAGCTGTAATGGTGTTTTATAAAAGTTATGTTCTGGCTGGTAATTTCTCTGACCTGTACAATTAAAATCCCTTTCCCCCTTTTCAATTGCATTTGGGTGACAACAGCACAATTTTTCCTTTTCCTCCCTGATAGGAACCATTTTTACATTCTAGTCTCCTTTCTCTTAAGTATCCTACCTGTTTTATCCCATACTCAAAAGCCTTCTGTGCCAGTCTGCCAGGTCCCTCTACAGTTTTACCATCATCATTAGGGCCCCAGCTTGCACTGTAAATATCCACGTGTTCAGGATTGAAGCCAATTGAACTGGCTTCAATGGCATCGGTGACTATTCCATCCAGCATACGTATACCTTAACAGGAAAAAACAGGCAGATTGGATTTATTTTCTGTTCTCTCTTCTTTGTCTTACTTAATGGTTTGTAAAGTCTCCAGCACAATTAATACATAATTATTACGTCAGCCTACTGCTATTTATTTAAGTAACACTCAGCACAGTTATAAAGTCCATGTGAAACAGTACACTTACCCTTTATTTGCAGAGCTTGGCACTCTCTATGAATATTAAAAACAAACTTGTAAAATCTTGGTTGCACCTTATTTACTTCTTTTTGCAGAGAGGCAAGAAGATATGTTATATACTGTTCCTACTTTTTCTCATTGCATTGAGAGTTCTTTTTTGACTTTTTTCCTCTTTGTTAAATTTGTAACGAACTTCTTTCCTCAAATTGCTAATAAGTGACTGAAATTAAACAGGTTTTATCAACATTTCTTTGACCTTTAAGATTTGTAGGAGTTTTAGCTCAGAGGCAGCTCAGAATGTTCTGCCTTAAACACTTGATCCTTGCAGTCTTTAAACATTTGCTGTCTTTGTGATGCTATTTCACTAGCTTTTCAGTCTTCACCACAAAAGATTCTCACTGCTGTTTTCCTACTTCATTTTTCCTACCATGAGCAATCCAGAGATGCTCATGGTATCTAGCTGTTAACATTTTATTAGCAACTGCGTGAGCTAACCTTCTTCAGAGAAAGCCTGATCTTAGAGATACTTAAAATCCAGTGGCAAACAGCAGCTCATCTGCACTGCATCTTTAGCTCTACAAATCTCTGGATCTGCGCTAGGATTGCTACCACTGTCCACTGCTGGATGGGGATAGTCTGGCAAGATTCCCAACGTGACATGGATCTCCAGCGACAGCAACAGCATAGCAGAATCCTGACAGAGTAGTCAGGATTCAGCTTGGGTATTCCAGCAACAAAAATACCCGCATTCCCTTGTTAAGTCCCCAAGTTAGTACTACAGCAGCTGCACCATTGCAGGCAGTTGGTGAATCATGAACACCCCTTTTCTAGCATAGAAGTTCATGGAGATTTTTCCAAAGCAAAACAGGCAAAATGGGAGTGTTCTATACAAAAGAAAAAAACCCAAAAGCCCCTTTGCTGCACATCTCAGTCACTCATGCTTTTTTATACTATAAAGGTGGGGGGAGGAAAAAAGCCTGTAAATATAATTCTTTGCCCAAATGGCTAGTCTTTAAAACTCCTAATGTCTCTGAGAGAAAGCTGTGTTTTATTATTTCATATTAATTAGTGCCAAAATGAGACATAAAGGAGTTAACCAGCTCAGCCACTGTCATTCCACTGTTGGTGGTAAAGCTGGAAATAGCATCAAGGTGTGTCTTGTACTTCAGATGCTAAAAAACAACATTTAACTCTGGCTAGGCTTAAACTCAAACCATTTACTCATTTTTTTGCTCAGAATCATGAGATTCTCTCATATCAGTGTGCTGTGAGCAAAGATCTGTCTATGTGGAAATTACTGCAAGCTCTGGGTGCTCAATTATAACAAATAATGAGATATTGGAAATGCAGAGACTAGTATACAGATATTTCCCAAACAAGACAAAGCCAACCACGCAGATAAATAACGCAATAAGGATGAAAAGAACAACACGGACAACACACTGGTGAACACAGCTCAAGAAAAAAAAAAAGCTGTCTTAGCAAAAATCCTGCTCATTTAAGTCAATTCAGAGGTTTGATGATACAGTGATATCTCCCTAAGCAGAGTCCAATTATTTGCTCCTGCACACTGTTTCCCATTCTTCCACATGCTTATTCCCATCATCAGTGCCACAAATTGAAAACCAGGTAAAGCCCAACACATATATGCTCTGCTTTACTACAAAGACCATCGAAATGCACACATTTCTGAACTCTGTACAAAGTAACAAGTAAATATTAACTGAGACTGAATGGTATCACTTTTAAAACTGACATTAAGAAGTATTTTTTTTCACGCAGTGCACAGAAAACCCCATGGGACACATGGCCATAAGGTATTGAAGAGACTAAGCAAATAAAACATTTCAGAAAACTGCCAGACATTAACATGACTAATGAGAACACTCAGGATTATTAAAGTTATTACTTTTAAGGAAAACAAAAAATATAAATGGAAAGTTTTACCTCTCAAGGCAAAGTTAAACCAAACTCCAATGGTGAAGATTACAGAACAGGCCACTCCAAATGTCAGGGTTTCTTTATCTAAAGCAGCTATTGCTGCCTGTCAGAGAGAAGATATTGGCCACAGACTGCTGGATCTATTCAGTATGGCAACTGCTACAAGCAAACAATCACTTAAAGTAGTCAGCGTGAACTAATGTCAAATAGAACTGCATAACACATCCTTTCATGGATTTAAAATATGCCTGTGAAGAAACATAAAGCCTCTATAGCTTTGAACATCAAAAAAAGCCTTCCAGTGCTTAGCCAGTCCAAATTTATCTGAATCCTTTGAAGACTTCCCCAATCTCTCACTGTTCTTCCCCTGCGCTTTTGATACATCCTTATCTCTTATCAGGCTGGTCATATGTACCCTCGTATAATTTCTTTCAGCTTCTTCATTCTCTCTCTTCCTCTGCCCTTAAGCAGCTTTCTGGACTGCTGGATTGCATTTCCTCCCATTAGCTCCCTTTCCTAGACAAATCAGCTGGCAGAGATTTGTAGTTTGCATTTGCAGATGAAAACAGGGCACATGCAAATAACTGTGGAAGAACCTTCTCTGTAGATGCAAGTGCCTTAAAATACAGGCACAGTTGTAGTTCAAGTATCTTTGCAGCTTCGTCCATTTTGCCCTGCTTTGAAAATTTGGTGTCTTTGCCTTATGAGTGAGATATTTTATTTAAACAGAGTATGACAGAGCAATGCATTATAGCAAAGGCAGACTGCAAAGTTGACATCAATGACAGCTCAGTAGAGTCAATGGGAACCTAGAAATATATAAGACTGAAATGGTGGGAACAGCAGTTATGGTTGCCAGTTGCCATTCATTATCCGTTGTTTAGGAGGAAAAAAGGAAGTAATGGAAAAACTAGGATTTTACAAGTTTCTCTTCCTTGAGCTAAATAAGCATTTGCAACAGATACTTTGAGTGTGTCTATTTCATGAACCTATAATAGATTAAACTTTCAATTACTGCTTTAAAATATCGCAATTATCGATTGAGAAGTAAGAAGACTTTACCTATTTTCAAAATTAACTTACGGTTATAGCAGAGAAGTAAGCTGTTGAAACAAATGCCACAATAGTATGAATACTTTGACCGACATGACCTTCCAAATCTAATTGTGTAGGTGAAAATGGTATGCTGCAAAGCATGGGTATAAATGTGGATACGCTTGCTTTTACTCACTCGGTCTGTTTTCTTCTCCCATGCCACCTCCTTCCAGCAGAAGCAGCTAAAAGAAGTGAGCTTACTGTTCATTAAAAGATAAAGTCTCATCTCTGGGCACAATCTATACCCAAGATATAAACTAAATTCCAGAGAATATGCTGGCACTTCAGAAATTGCGTCATATAGATGTAACACTGTGATCAGAGGATTTTATAATCTAATACTGGGAGCGACATTTCCTGAGAAGGACAAACCATCAGTATATCAGATTAATGGTGACTGAGAACACCTGGCACTTTCCAGAATCTGTCTGGTATCTATTCACACCAGACATTATTTTTGCTTTCTTACCTCCAACTTTTGAATTGTAGGCTATTCCAACCCCACATTTTTTATTGTTGGCTTGCATGGCAATTTCTCCTGCACACCGTGTCCCATGCCTGAATAAATGCAGTAAGAATAAACAACATATGATAAACCACATACTTCTCCATAATGCACACAAAGATGATCTTCCTGATTTAGCAGATGTCTTCCTTTACCTGAATGTAATGCAACTATTGACTAATTTTTGAATTATGCATACCTGATTCAAAAATACTTGTTTCCTTTAGGCCTCAATCGACATAAATGTACCCATTTAATCATCAAGAGGTCATCACAATGAGGTGACAAATACCCAATCCAAACCACATTGCAGTCCACAGACCAACTGGCTATCAGTACTTTACCAGCACACAAAAATAAAGTAACATTATGAGGCTAAGAACTGCTAAATCCCTTCAGAAAGAAATGTGAACAAGTCACTTTTAATCACATATTCAGATATTCTAATTCCTGCATTTACTTTGGATTTCACACAGCCTTTAAAATACCTTCACCGTTGCTAATTTTTCTTGTGACCAAGTATTTCCTATGCAATTTTTTCTTGTCATAGGGGATTCTTGCTCCTCAATACATAAAACCTTCATATAAATGTAATTGTAAGAGAGTAGTATTATTTAATACTACAGATTGTTATTCAGTGAAGTGTTTGAATGCTTCTGGGCTGAATTCCATTTACTTATTAATAAAGATTAGAGATAATGAGATAATACACGTAGATTTAAGAGATAATGTCACAGGAACCAAAGAATAATGGCCTCCCACTCTTAAATAATGCTATAACAAAATAGAAATGTCATTCCCTAAATGTTCCAGTCATGGTACATTCATCCTTTTGACTGACTGCTTTATTTCCACACAATTTCTGATTTATGTTGTGGACACTATTACATTGTCTGTTGGGGCCTTAGTAATGGGATTCACCTAGAAGAGAAGAAGGTGTTCGTGGGGAACTGGACCAACGCCTAGCAACCAAGCACCTGGAGGAGAACCAATCAGCTGGGAGCCTGTACCCAATGAGTGCTGCTCCTCAGCGCATGCCCACCTGCACAGGTATAAAGCCCTGCTACAGACAACAGCAGGGGGGAGTTGACTTCACTTTGTGTGGAGGTGTTGTTTGTGCTGGCTTGTGGGGAGGGCCCTGGCACTTGGCGCGAGAGTGACCCTCGACAATTGTCTAACAGACAATAGTTTCTTACTGCATCTTTACTGAATAGAGGCATCCTAAATGGTTTAGTAAATGGGCTTTTTCTGCACATCAGTTTTTAAAGAGGTCCGTCCTCTTTCTAATGGACAAAATTGCTCCCTGAACTACCATGGGTGAGCTTAGGTGTGACGGCTTCATCATGATGTTCCACTGAGTTCCAGGGAATGGCTCTAAAGAGAGTATGGGAAAAAATTCCTCGCTCCTTCCAAGACACATAATTACACTAAGTGAATGGCCTTTTTGTCCACACTCAAGTCTTCCAAAACTTCCAAAGCTTTCATTGTCTCATCAGAGACATGTAGGCCAAATCTGGTCTGTGTTTTTCTTCAGAAGAGACAGAAAGATTGCCCAGGAAGTGCACGTAACCTCCTTGCAGTGTCTGAACATACGTCACACCTATAGGAGGAGGAGGTCTGAAGCATGAGTTTACCCGCGCATGTGTGCACAGAACTGGAAGTTATTTTGCCATTCCAAAAATTGCTGCCAATACTAGAAAGAAAGCAGTCAACTGCAAAAGCTGACCTGAAGGGATGACCAGAGCTTCCTCTGAGAAACAGTCTCTTCCAGAGCACTTCAGAGGGGATATGTATTCTTTTAACATTCACAGTACAAGGCAGAGAACTAAAGCCAGTATCTGTTTAGGTAGATGTCACTCTACAAACACACATCACGACCTAAACAGATTATTCCTTTCAAATATAGAGAATTTCAGAACTTTAAGGGGAAATTAAAAATAAAGAGTTCTTCATCTGAGAATTTCCTTCATTCCCAGTGTTTGTGCAATGTTATAAGGGCTTTTCCTTTCATATATGTGTCGCATTGGGCATGGACAAATTCTGCAGTTCGATATCTTAACACAAAGTAATAGTTTACTCTTTTGTTCTCTTTAGACAACTGGGAAGCTACTCACTTGTTTTCATTTGTCAGGTCATATCTAGGAAAAGGATCATGATCGTTGTCATTGAAATCATAACTTGCCTTTGGATCCTATATTAAAAAAAAGGAATTAATTGTGAAAAGTAGAAAGTGGACTTAAAATCTTTTAATGAAAGGGGTTTTACAGTCCTTATTAATTTTGTGGGCCTCATGCGGACAGCAATCAAGTCAGTAAAATTTCATAGGCATTAACAATTCCATAAACTTTTTATGGAGCTAGAAAGGTTTTAATAATTCAGCATTAAACCATTGTATACAAACATGCGTGGGAACTAAATTCAGTAAGAAAAAAAAAAGCTACCTCTTTTAAATAACATTCAGCTTCCTGTGACACAGACGAGGTTTCAAACTACACCCAAGGCAAATATTTCAGCTTCCATGATGTAGGGGCTGCCTTACCAAACAGAGAGCAGGCTGGAGTACCTGTATATCCAGTTTACAAGATTTTAATGCCCAGACTTACATAGTTATCATAGATGTCAGTATGATTCCACTCCAAGCCATCATCTAGTACTGTGATGACAACACCTTTTCCTGTGATCCCTTTTTGCCACACAGGGATAACATGGAGATCTAATTTGGGCAGTGATGGAGTTACTCTTGTATCTTGCTAAGGGACAGAAAAGGATAACAAACAGGTCAATAGTTTTACCATTTATATCACACAGGTCCAAAGTCAAGGTGCTCTAAATCATCCCAGCCTTAACTTACATATTTTGCATATATTTCCCAAAAATTAAACAAAAATGAGCTTGCCCAAACCTTCGTAACACCGAAACTCTTCTCATATTACTTGAAGCTCCCTGAAGACCACCCTGAATAAAGATGATCCTGTACTTATTAGAGATGAGTAACAAAAACACAGGGAATGGTAGGGAAGTGCTAATGATCCTCGAAAAATCGAGTTAATAACCAGATCTACTGATGTTTGTTCGTTTCACCTGATGAGAAGCTAGGGCAGTAACCCACTGTGCAACAAGCTGCATTTTCTCCAAATACACTTTCTCCTTTGAAGTCTGAGCTAGACACAGTAAAATAATTAATGGATAAAACAATTAAGGAAATTGCTTGGTTATGAACAAATGTGCTGAATCACAACTTGCTGTTTACCACCTTCCTTATTGTTCCTGTGGAAAATCAATTGGAAGCATGAATCATCTACATCTCTTTCTTCCAAAGCAAGTTTTTTAAAGAATAGCTCCTAAATGGGTCATTTTTCTGCTCTAATATGAAGTATGTAGCACATATATCTAAGTTAGAAACTTTGCTTACTACCCTATAAAACACAGTTGTAAACGCTAGGATTTTCTTCATTTTTCTTTGTGCATAATTACCTAACTCAATTGCAGTTTTTTTGTATCTTTGTTTCCAACAGAATGCTGTACAAGGCATGAGGTTTAGATAAGAAATATGACTTTCCTTTCCTTTCTTTCTGACTGCTGTGGTTCAGGAAATTTTTTAAGGTATTTTAAGGTTCTGTTCTCTAGAACCCATCAAATAATCACTTTTCTGGTGATGCATGAAACACTTTGAATGGAGTAAAAAACCACTGACATCAAATCAGGCAATAATAGATTTATTATTACAAGTCAAGGGCAATATTTTGGAAGAAAATGTTTAACACATATATTTAATCTGCAATTACAACATATAGTAGAAACAAGTATAAGCATCATGTTCTCTGTTTCTTATGTGGGAAAAGAAGTTGAAAACCACACAAAGCTGGAAAGATGAGCTATTTCTCCTAGAGAGTACATTTCTTTCCTCACAAAAAAGCTTTTTTCTTACTCTATGTGTGTTTGTGTATTTGTCCAATAAAATCACCTTGGAAATTCCCTGTTTCCTATTAAGGGAGAAGTAAGGAGAGGAGAGAGCACAAAACCAGTTTTGAAGAAATGTAAAATTCTTTTAGATGTCTATTTTCTGTGTTCAGAGGAAGCTTGTAGGAATCTTCTTGGGAATAGTTTATGCTATGCATTTTATATTTCTTTTTCTTCCAACTCAAAGGAAAGAGAGGGCAAAGCTTCATACAAATAGGTCAGACTTTGGTCAGCTTTCTCTAAACCAAACTCGAGAAGAAAAAAAAAATTCAAGAAGTGGGACCAAGTTTGCGTTTGAGTATTTCTCTTGGTTTGCTATCCCCATCCTTAATTCTATACCTATTCTAAGCAGAAGGAACAAAACCTAGAATAAAGACACAACGAGATCCCCAGTAGAACAGATATTCATAAAAAAAACCCACAAATTAATAAACAAAAACCCACAAACTATTAACAGTATTTCTGATTTGTCACATACATAGAAACTATAGAGGGCAAAAAAATCCTTTTTATTTATATTTGAACATATGAGCTGTAGAGAAACTCTTCACCTTAAATCAGTCTGAAAAGGGAAAAGGTGCTTGTCATATACATAAGAGATTTTGTTTTCCTCTGGAGGATGCAATATTCACTACCAAATTTAATAAAGAAATAAATGGTCAACTTCAGAGACAATAAGGGAAAACTTACACGACAGCAAATTTTTAAAATTCTTATAAAGTTGGGTTTTAGCTATTTTAGCTACTGCTTTCTAATGTCAAGCACCATGATGAGCAGCAACTGCCTGAATTGGCTACTAGAATTTTTGCACAAACTACACTTTGATAAAAGACAGAAGGTTGACTGCAAATATCATGCATGTATCTTCATCCACTCCGTTCAATGTAATCGCTTTGACATGGCTAAAAATACAGCTGATAATAACTGAAATTCAGCACCCCCCAATCCACGATGAAACTAATTCTTACCAGATACCACTGCTGATTCCACATCGGATCATTGAAAAGGTTTTCTGCTGAGTCTCTCAGGGTGGCACGCTTAGTTCGCCTTTTTTCATACTGCTGTTCTGCCCATGACACCTACAATTATTTGTATAAACATGACAGTTAAGCAAGCCTCAACAGGTTAAAGATTTTCTTAACCTAGAGGGTAAGGGCTTTTCTCGCACAGCAAAATTTTGATACCTAAAGGAAAAAGTAGTATGTTTGATGCTGAGATTATTTACACAGTAGTAGAGAGTACTTAAGGGAAGAGGGCTTGAAGAAATCATAATACTATAATATCAATTCATATAAAATCATTTCAAGTTAACTCCTGTGAATGCCACACAATGCAGGCTTTTCTGTTGAATGTTATCTAAGCCATGGTGGTTACTCAAACAACCAGAACACTGTTTCTTTTCCCTATCTACATTTTGATGTCTCTCTGTGAATGTTGGGAATTTACAGAGAAAGAAAGATTCACTCTGGCTTTAGTCTAGCAGTCATAATGACGCTGTTACTCATAGCAGCACTCATAGACCTTCAAGTCTCCTTCCCAGCAGTGTTTTGAAGTGTGTTCAATTAGAAAGCTATGAATATTGGACTAACTTAATCATTGGCATAATTCCATTTAAGGCAACTGGAAGCCAAAATTATCCCGCGTGTTTTGCTAATGTGTCTATGCACTGAACTGCAGAGCATTTATGCATCAACACAGCCATCTCTAAAGTTACTAGGTTGCATTCTGAAAATGCTTCCAGTTTTGCTCTCCTGAACGGATTACTAAAACTAGTTCAAGTCAAATCCAGATTCTGACACCTTTCTTTAGGCTGTGTGCTCCATCTGTAAATAAGGATAAAATGTTACTCATTGCTGGACTGCTACTCTGACACAGAGCAGGCTGGCGCTTTTCATCCCAATTTTCAGATATGAAAAGCAAACTCAAGTTCAGTAGATTGCCATGATCCTGTAACAAGCCTGAAGTGGAGGATGCCTTTGTATTTAGCTTTTTGTTTTAAAACCCTGAACAGGTTTCAGTACTTTTCTCTACTGTCATCCAAATGTTTTATGGTTCTTACATCTGTCACCATATGATACAGTAATGAATGTCTCAGAAATTATTTTAACAAAGAAATGCACTGATTTGATCAAAATACATTTTTCCTAATGAGAGCCTAATGGAAATTAGGTACAAGAACATAAACCCTTAAAAATGGAAGCTACTCTACACAAGTAATTAGAAAGCTCTCAAATCATACTCACTTTGTGACGTACTTGGTGCTAGAAGTAGTACAAATGGACAGTCCTACTAGCCTGAGTTACCAACAGAAGATAAACATATCCCCACAAGCATAAATATTTTAAATTGTTTTACTGGTATCCAAGAGCATACATATTTGTGCAGAAGTTAGAGCAGTTCTCTTTCTTTCCTGCTTACAGCAAAGCTTAGCCTCTTCATCACTTAACGGTAATTAACTTTTGACACCTTCTGTAATTGTTATTTTTGTGATGTGGACAACTGCTCTGTGGGAAATGAGCTGAGACCACCAAGCACATATGTCACCCAAATAAGCCAAATGTCACTCAGCAGCTGGACTACGTTCAAACTACTCATCTATTACCAAAGGCCTCATGCCAAATCTCCTCCAGGCACTGATACATGAAGTATTGAAAATGATTTTGATTCAAGTCCCTTGCAAGAAAGTAGATTTGGGAGCCAGTGCAAATATTGAAAGTTAGGGAACCAGATAATTACATCCTTTCAAAACATTCACAGCCATTATGTATTTTACAGCAAACACTGGGACAGATATAGGAAGTAGATAAATACTCGGACTGGAGCCACATTTTGTCCCAGCCTTCACACTTAACAGACTGCATAATTCATGAAGGACATTGCTTTCTGTTTGTATACTTACATAATGACATAATTGCATCTCACTCATTCACATAGCTAATTTGTATGCTAGATGGTAAATAAAAGGGAAATTGGAAAAAAATTAGCAAATCACCTGTAGAACTTTGAAGCCATGTTTTTAGGATCTAAGGAAATAAATTTGCCATAATGATTGGCAGTAACCTATGTAACACAATTGCATCTATTCTGCTTATGACATTAGAATCCAGTTATGTTTTCCTGTTTCCCTGTGTAATATATGCGTTCCAGGTAATCAGTCCAAAAAAAGGAGAAACTGCAACCAAAATTCTATTCTTGAACACTGTATTATGACAGTATTGAAAATTTGAACATAGGTTTGGATATTAATTAGACCATTTGTGTTAGATCCTTTTTATGTCCTTTATATATAATTGCCTACACTAAAACTCTGACTTTGAGCATCCCAATTTAGAATGATTTCACCTAACACACTTAGCTGTTAAACCAGGTTTACAATTAGATGGGAATGTGCTGTTTTCAAACGGAATAGGGAAAACAAGGCATTTACTGTATGCCCCCCTTCCTTTGTTCTTCCGTATAAACATGAAATGACATTTGCAATCCTAAACTTCACTCAAATCATTTGTTGTCAAGTGTTTTGTCCTCAAATGACAAAAGGGCTCAAAGTTTGGGACAGCTAATATCTTGATTGTGATTGTTGAAATAATGCTAATGTGAGTTCATTATTCTGAAGCTTACCAGAAACTGTTCTTAGGAGGAGCTGACAGCATTCTGCTCCCTTCTTTAAATTTGCCACCCACCTTGCCTCCCCAGCACGTTTACCAACAGGCTTGTGTATCTCTCAAACACAGTTTCCTTCACCGGTGAATCTACCTTAGAGCACTTAAGCCTTGACAGGATGAACTCCTCTACACTGTGCTCGTTCTCTGATTTCAATGGGATCCTGGAGCACCAAAATACTACAAGCTTAAACCTTGTGATGGGTCCTCTTTGAGGACAGGTTTTAGCTTGCCACTGAAGTGAACATAGCAAAATCTCAGTTCTTTTTCTTTCCTTAGTTTTTTGCAATATTCAGTCACTTGAAATTAAACATAATTTCCATGACCATTGCATAGACATGGTCTAATTAGGCTCACTGTATCTACGGATTTTTACTCTGAGCCCTGTGGTTCCTCATTCATATTTTCATCAGCACACACAGACATGTGAGATTCTAAACTTTGCAATGAGGCAAACCTTAAATCTTAATTTGGAAAACACTTGCAAAAAAATAGCAAAAGAGGGTGAGATTCTGCCTCTTAATGAGAGAATAATGAAGTATTATTCAACATGAGTATGGATTGCTGAATATATTAGACTTGCAAAATGAGTAAAAATGCCTGTGACCTCATTAGAAAGACAGCAATATGCAGAGAGCATAAAAAAAAGATACGGGACATAAAAAAATAGAAATGTAACACTTACCCGCTCATCATCGGAAAGTCTTTTAGTGATATGAATGGCACTTCTTCGAGATCGCCTTGGATGGCTTTTATGTCTGAATAGGTAGTGATTTTTGAGTGATCCAATCTATAAGACAGAGTCAGACTTTAAATATTGAGCAGTATTCCCCTACTGCACACAAATATCAACCATCATAACCTGTCAGAATTTATTCCATAGATGAAAGAGCAAGACACTAGCCTCTAGATATTTTAATCAGAATTAAAACACTTTTCAAGAATTTCTCACCACAAGCTGTCTGCTGTGAGAAGGAACTAGGGGGAAATGACCTTACTCGAGCTACTCTACTCTTGTAGTAGCCACCTGTATCTCTAGACCTGTCACTACCTATGTGTTATATGTTACTTATGTGTTGAAACAGCCCCATTTCAAAGGCCTCTAGCACGTCCTGAGCTAACACCTGCGGAGCTGGGCACCTGCTGGAGGAGCGGGGCCCCGCCAAGCGCCGTTGGCACCGGACCCTTGCAGGGTGCGGGGAAGGTGCTATTACGCAAAGGCAGTTACTCATCCTTGACAACGCCGACGTCATGACATCCCAAAAAAAGAAAAAAAGGAAAAAAGAAAAAAAAAAAAAGCCCTGAGTGAGGTGTGCCCCGCAGCAACCCCGCCTGGGATGCTCCGCAGGACGCCCCTGCATGGAGGGCAACCCCGCGGGGGAGCCGGGAGTCCGCATGCAACTTGGCGGCAGTGCCCGCACCGCCCCTACCTGTC